GTGCTCTGCTTGGCGGCTCATTGGGCGCTGCTTTGCTGAAGGAGGGCAATCCCATGTCGCTTCACTATGTAATGTTTGTTCCCACAATTATGGGTCAGGTTAGAGTTAGCTTCGCCTCAATTAAGACTTGGTTCAATGTGGAATTGATCTTTTTAGGGCACTATGGAACAGCAGGTCGAGTGGCTGCCTAAGGCTTGGGATTGTGAAATAATTGGAACCTATGCCCAAACCGAGCTGGGACACGGCACCTTCCTGCGTGGCTTGGAAACGCGCGCTGATTACGATGCCAGCACGCAAGAATTTGTGATCAATACTCCGACGATGACTGCATACAAATGGTGGCCTGGCGGCTGTAAGTAGCCTCCCAACTATATAGATTATATCGAGTGACTTCAACTTGAATATTTGCAGTGGGTCACACGGCGAACTATGCTGTTGTGGTGGCACAGCTATACACCAAGGGCGAGTTCCGTGGTTTGGCTCCGTTTATTGTGCAGCTCAGACACATGGAAACGCATCAGCCCATGCCAGGCATTGACATTGGCGACATTGGCACCAAACTGAGCATGAAGGGTGTCAACAATGGCTATCTGGGCCTGAAGAATGTGCGTGTGCCGCTGAACCACATGCTAATGAAGAACCAACAGGTGCTGCCCGATGGCACCTATGTGGCGCCCAAGAATAGTGTTCTCACCTATGGCACCATGATGTTTGTGCGTTGTGTGCTCATCAGGGACACTGCTCACAGCCTGGCTAAAGCATCGACCATTGCGACACGTTATTCCGCAGTTCGGCGACAGAGTCCCATTGATCCCAAAGAGCCAGAACCTCAGATCATGGACCATACGACACAGCAGCTGAAGGTATTCCCGCAGATATCCAAGGCAATTGTGTTTAAGATAGCGGGCGACACTATATGGAACATGTACAATGTACTCTCCGGCGAATTGGAGCAAGGCAACCTGGAGCGCCTGCCTGAGATGCATGCGCTCGCTTGTTGTCTAAAGGCCATTTGCAGCGCTGATGCTTCAGCCGGCGTGGAAATATGTCGTCTCTCATGCGGCGGTCATGGCTTCATGGACTGCTCAAATTTCCCCGCTATCTATGGCATGACAACAGCTGTCTGTACGTACGAGGGCGAGAACACGGTAATGCTGCTTCAAACGGCGCGTTATCTGGTCAAGGTCTATGGCCAGGCGCTGGCCGGTGAGAAACTGGTACCAACCGTGGCCTACATCAACGAAGCTATCAAGCTAAAACAATTTGTTAATTTCGATTGTACGCTGGAGTCAATCGTGAAGGCATTCCAATTTGTGGCAGCGAAGTAAGTGCAGTTACATAAACTTAAAAATATTATATGTAATTCAATCTAAATATTATGTTTATAGCAAAACACGCGTCGCCTATGAACAGATCGAAATGCGTCGCCGACAGGGCCACAGTACGGAGGTGGCCGCCAATCTCAGTGGCATCTTCTTGACAGGCGCCGCAGATGTAAGCAGGAATAATAATTATTATATGGCTCATTCATATACTAAATCTAAGTCGACTTTTAGCTACACGGACGCGCATTCTTGGCCCAAACCGCGTACACAGAGCTCACGGCTATTTCGAAACAGGTTTCGCCGGCACTGGCTGACGTGCTAAAGGTGGTGCTGGAGCTCTACCTCGTCGATGCGTGCCTTAACCGCATTGGTGACTTTTTACGGGTGAGTAAGACATTATCTTATCTAGTTAAGATATACGAGAAAGTGCTATTACTAACCGGCACAAATTGTAGTTCATTGAGTTTACTGATGCGGATGTCACCAAATTGGAAATGCGATTGGAAAGCTGTCTGAAGCGATTACGCCCCAATGCCGTCGCTTTGGTCGATAGCTTTGATTTGCACGATCGCGTTTTGGACTCAGCATTGGGTGCATACGATGGCAAAGTGTATGATCACATATTTGAGTCCATTAAGAAGAACCCACTCAACAAGGAGCCGGTGAACGAATCGTTTCACAAATACCTGAAGCCCTTCATGAAGGCTCATTTGTAATATAATGTTATTTGTTTTCTTCCTTCGGGAGTATTTCGAAACTCTCATATGATTGTTATGTCGTCGTATTTGTAAATATTATTAAACCTTATTTGTATATTTTATACTGTGCTACTTGACTCCTTATTGTGCATCCTCTCCTCAATATTGTATAGTCCAAAGTACATGTATTATGTGAAGTCTTGGTTGTGTGTTTTAATAGAGCTTACACTAAACGCTTTATTAAAGATTGGTTTTAATTATAGTTTGTTAGATAGAGAGTGTGACTGCAACACATATCCTCAATTAGCAGTTCTTGATGCTGGCTAATTTTGATCTAATTATCGAATGCTGAATAGAGCACAGCCTTAAAGCCCTCGGTAATGTCGCTTATGAAGCACCAGCTGGATTCTTGGCGTTACGTTGTGCATAGAGTCGTCGCAACAGTCGATTGCCACAGAGGAATGTGAATACTGCGATTGGTATGAGCAGGCGCAGTGTCTGGAACATGTTCAGTCGCAGCCAAAAAACAAAGAAGAGCGCCAAGATGCCACCAAAGCCCAAATGGAAGCCAATCGTGCTGGGTGACCATGTAAAGTTCGACACATTTATGCCCAATTTAGCCCAGAAGACAAAGAGCAGGACAAGGGGCGTTATGCACAGGCCAGTGAAGATATCCGACACAATGCGGGGCGGACGCTTATCGGGCACGCGGAATTGATGCTCGATCTCTGGCAGAGGTCCATTCACATGGCTGGGTTTGACATCTGTGGAAAGTATTGAATTTAATTAGAATAAAATAATTATGAGCAACAACTACACTTACCTCTGTCTGGCTGATTAAATTTCAGCTGCACATCAGCCAATAGCCACTCGAAGGAGTTGGACAACGAAGCATCGCCGACAGTCAGATAAATGTTATACAAGCCATTTTGGAAATTGAAATTCTTGCCCTGATTGCCCACGTCCATGTCAAACTTGTATGCCTTGCTGCTATCCTGTTCAGCTACGAATATGATCTCTTTGTTTGTTTCCTGGTTATGCAGACGCACAAATGCCTGATGCACTGCAATGGGTTTGCTGGTGCTCTCATCGACTAGCAGCGCTTTAAGTAGCAGCTTCTGTGTGCTGTCCGCCGTAAGGGTATCCTTCAGCTTGTTGGGGTAGCTGACGCTTTGCTTACGTGTGGCTGCACTGGCATCGGATTCGGCAATGCCCACTTCTAGAGTCTGTACCTTGACACGTCCCAACACCTTAAATTGCAGTTTTTGTTTATAAACGCCGTCACCGTTCAACTCCGCCTGGTATATGCCGCGACCTGGCTTCAGGCTGCTCAAATCCGCCGCATAGGTGGTTTTGTCTGAAGACTTCGATACCAACTGAATCTTTTCTGCCAACACAGAGCCATCCTTCTTCACACTAATCTTTGCACTGAGGCTCGTCACAGGTGGCGACAGGGGTTTGCCGAGCAAATCAACAATTGCTACATTCAGAGTTGGCGACTGGGCCTCCAGTTGTCCATTTCCAATGAGCTGTATGCAGATGGGTGATACTTTGTCCGCGCTGCTGATTGTTTTTAGCGCCTCAATTAGCACATGAGCTCCCTTGGCAGTTTGCACCGAGCGGCGACTCAGCAAATAGTTGGCAAATTTAACAGCTTGGTCAGCTGTAACAGGTGCTGGCTTGTTAAAAGCCTTCGACACACCAAAAACGCCGTTTAGTATCAAGGCGGTGATGCTTAGTCCACCCTCGAATTGCAGCAGTCGGCCATCAACTTCGTCAGCTTGAACAATAGCGTCCTCGGTGCGGTCGACAATGAAACTGGCACTAGGGCCGAGCTGGATAGCCACATTAAATGCATAGCCCAGACCGCTGAGTGTGTCATCCTTTTTCAGCACCTCCTGCAAGCGTTTCACAATTTTCGCCTGCGCTGCCTCGCTAACCTGGACGCCGAGTGCTTTGTGCGTCGCTAAACGATAGTAAATTTCCTGTGTGGTGGCCAATTCCGAATCCAACGAGCTGTAGACCTTCGACAACAGTGCTTCAGGGATCTTTGTGGCGCAATGCAAATTCCTGTTGGCACCAATCAGGTAGTAGTCCTTCTCAAAGTTCTGCAAGCGGGCCAAAGGTTAAAATAAAAGAAAAACTCATCTATTACTATACCTACATTTAGTTTAGATTCTGTATGTAACGTAACAATCTTTTTGCAGAGCGTTTCCTTTGTCGCAGCATCAGTTGTCTCAATGTTTAGGCTGGCAAAGAAAATCGCTTGTAGATCGTTGGAACTAAGGCCATCAACAAAGACTTTTTGCAGGCGGGTGAGATCCTTTGGCCCCAAATGGCTATCGACGGTGCGCGCACTCCAAGTCGTTGCAGCGACGCAGAGTACACATAGAAGCGTAAAGGCTATTGTAGCAGAAAGAAAAATGATTATAATACTGTGGAAAAATGTGTTGGACAAGTTTCAAAAACGCACAGTCAACGTCGACGCCGGCAAGTGAGACAGAGAACGAGACAGCGCGACAGCGCCTATGCCGGCGTTTCTGCTGCACACACACGAGGACCCCTTCACTCTGACATCAATTTATAATGGTAAATTATGACTTACCTATTTTAAGCATTGTCCTATATGTGTAGCGTTGTGAAACGCACCTTATATGCTATAGGATAATAAATAAAAAACGAGTAAATAGCCCTGCTCCGCCTGTTTCAGCTTCGATATTTTTTACAGACACGTCAGCGACAGTGTTGTCTATTAGCTGTGAACATTAGAGATGGCATTACAAAACACGCACAAAAAGTGTGTACACATTTGCACGCAATGTAAACTAGTCGTTTTATCGATTAATGTGATGGCAATGTTATGCGTTAATTTAAATTTACAATTTTATGCGTTAATTTAGAATTAATTTTTATTTATTTTTATATCTAAATGTGCATTAAATAAAATTGGTTATTGCTTATTCGATTAAAGTTTTAATTAACTTAAACTAAACTGTATTTAATTTACGCATAAGCTCGTTGCTATAGTAATGCAAAATTTCACACAAAACATTCAAACTGAACTAAATAATAACGTGAATTTCTATTTACTGTCCAAACTTCTCAGTACATTCCTGCAATGGCCTGGTTATGGAATATTTAACTCTAAAAGTTTTCGTAGGATCGCCCTCATGATTCCAAAGAGTTATGGGCGTGGTACAATACAGAGGATATTTGTTAATACGCAATTCCAAACGCTCCTCGTCCTCTGGCGGCTTATCTTTGCAGAAGTTCTCAAAATATTCAGTGTGATTGGGTCCCAAATCAGGTACAACTAAATTCTGTCGATTGTATTCATCTAGAAGTTCCTTCCACAGAAATTTCTTCATGAGATTCGCCCGCGTAGCTGTAATAATATAGTCGCAACTTACTTAAACCGAACTTTTATTGATAGTTTAGGCAGTTAGTTACTAAGTATCTTATTTCTGTAAGGTACTCCAAAACTCTCTTGCGTTTCGGTGCGCTCTGCAATGCAGGGTCCTTTGCCCTTGATGCGAAAGCTTTCGTCCTGATCCATTTTAGGCGTTTTTTAAGGCTAACGAAAATAATTTATTTATTTAGTAAATAGGTTTGTGATGCGAGCAATGAAAAGTGTTTGACTGAATGCTTCGGCAGGGCAAACACATTTGTAGCTTGACAACGAGGCAGCTAGGCAACCGATTGCTCTGACTGTTGAGGCGGCGCCTCGTCTTCCTCGACGATGAGCGTTACGTCTTTGGGACGAAGTATGCAGTAGTAGACGACAATGGTGGCGAGGAACAGAATGCCGCTGTAGACAATCCACTCCCAAATGAAACCAAACCACCAGGATTCGAATTGTTCGTTGCCATACCAAATGGCTGTCATTGTTATGTTCTCCGCCAGCACAAGCACCAGATACGAGATATACCAACGTCGTATACTCTTGAAGCACACTCGCAGCTCGATCAGCACAAAAATGTAAATGTAGCCAAGCAGCAGGTAGAACAGACAGCGATTCCAGCTAACACGGCAGCGCGTCTCAAGCGCTAAAGCGGCCAGCATCAAGGCGTAGTGCACGCCCACTACAATGAAGAAGGCGCGCGGGTAGAAGACGCAGAAGGTGGCCAGCGACAGCATGCGCATTATGATGAAGGCTATCCAGCCGAAGAAGGCAACGGTGCGGCCAGCGAAGTCATCCTGCTGGATGCCGTTCACAATCTTTGTGGGCCGTGGAAAGTAGAAGTCGACCACGTCCTTGGGCGTCAAGGGCGTGCCCTTTGGAGTCTGTGCCACCACCAAGGGGGTACGCTCATCGGAGTTGGGCTCCTCATCCACACGTCCAATGAGCACTTTGGGTGGCCGTGGCACGTGGTCCTTAATGTACAGCTGAGCATTCACAAGCAGCATATCCTTGAACGTCTCCAACTGTGAGAGGGGACGTGTAATGCGTTTGCTTCTTCTGTATCCCGTATCCGATTCAGTGCGTCGCAGATCTGGCGCTGCAGGCGGATCATTCTCTGTAGGCATCCGCAGCATGGGCAGCGCTGCTGGCGCTGTGGCTGGTGGCGGCGGTGGAGCTGGCGTCTCTGGCACTGTGTCCAGCACCTCAATGCTATCCAAGTGCTTCAGCTCGTCGCGGTGTAAGTGCAATTTGGGTCGAGCTTGATGCATCTTATCATCGTCTGTGACATTGCCAGCAGCAGTGCTTGTGGGCGGGTGTAGCATAGCTATTATCTCCAGCTTCTCCACAGCGTCGTTATCCACTTCATCGTGTCCAGCTACGTGCAACTCGTGGCTGCCAACTGCTGACGTCTCAATCTGACTGCCCGATTCCTGACGGGCATGAAAGTTCGCCATGATCTTCTCCGATTGCGGAAAACTTGTGGCCACTGAACGCTCCGACTCCCGTTTTCTGCGCTCCGCCTCTCCGCATAGCCGCTCATTCTGCTCCAGCCGGCAGCGTTGGGCTTCCACCTGCTGCGGCGTTGCCCAGGGGTAGTTGCGACCCACGCGCCGTTGGCTTTCGATGCGATGATAGGTGGTTGTAATCCCAGCCAGATCAATGGCTGCAAATACCAGACACATACTCTGCAAGGTGGCTGCAAAGGAAGACAGTTAGCCCAACCATGTGCGGATTGAAGGCAAATCTCTCAACTCACTTGTCTCATAGTTGCGAAAGATGTCCTGGGTGAGCATGTGGTACATCTGCAAGATGATCTGTGGCGCCGCCTGTGCATATGCCTGGATGAGCAGATATAGCTCAATGTTGGATGTTTGCGTTACCTTCCCTAAGCACTTCATACGCTCCACGTCATCATCCGCATGGTACAGCGCCTCCACGGACCAAAACAAGCGCATGGTGAACCTGGTTAGCGTATTATGCAAATCAATGACTCCTCAAATATTTCATTAGTCAATTTATGACTCACCTGTAGACCACGGCGAATGGGAAGAACAGCAGCTGCAGCAAACCCAAGCTGCAGCCCATACACTTACTCCGACTGGCGCTCGCGCTGCTGCGCTGCTCTTTGGAGCTGAGCACCAGCACATAGGTGAGCAGTGGTGGCAGCAGCACCAGCACCAGGGTGCCAGCACCATAGCCCGGCTCGTGCCTACGAAAGTGCTGATAGCTCAGGGCCAGGTCGGTTGATGTTTGCAGCATGTACACCAGGAGCCCCAGGCATGTGGGTATTATGTAGGACACATAGATGCGAGTGCGACTGCGTATCGTGTAGCCCAGGATGTGACCTGGCGGACTGGCTGCATGGCCCAGCTCCGTGGTCATATTATCAAAAGAAACCGAATCAATCTATATCCTGGGTGATTTCCGTTCGAGTTTTTGTTCAACTGCGTTTTACATGTTTCAAATGCGAAATTTCGGATGATACTACGGTTCCTATGAGTAAGCAACGCTCTCTGGGCACGCTTATCAATTGGGCGTATGCGTATGTGTGCTTAGGGCGCTGATTAGATAAAACCGCTTGAATGAGTCTCGTGTGGAGAACGCCAAGGCTTGTTTATGTTTGCAAGCGCAATTGTTGAGAATGTGCAGGGAGAAGAGCGGGAGAGAAGCGTTGAGAGTGGTTAATGCAGGTTATGTATGCCGGACTCTATTAATTTGCATTGTTGATGGTTTTTAGTTGACTGGAGCTCTATGCATTATGCATACGAAAGTGAGAAGTAGCTAGAGAAATTATTATCTGAAGAGCATCTATATATGCAGATCTAAGCCCCTAAATCTATGGGAGAAGCATTCCGATGGAATACTATATCTGTAAAAAAGAAATATCCGCTACTCCCGTTTAGTAATAGAAGAACAATATATATTAACCCACCCAAAATACTTTATAGGAATATCATACTTCATAATTGTATATAAGTAAATTCTTTATTTAATTGCGATTGCTTGTTGAACTTGCCTAAGAATCATACCACGTCTTTTTCATCCAATTGGAAGGCTTGCATGGCTCATCTAGCACCACGAACGAATCCTGTTGATTCTCTGTGCTCTGCTTCGAGCGGCGACAGCCCACGGCATACTTGGGATTGCCCTCAATGATGGAAGATTTGTCACGGCACTTGGCCGCATTCTGCAGCACGGAGCCGCGTCGTCCATATCGAGCTGGCTTCTTGGCGCCACCAGTGGCCACATCCTCGAAGCTGGGCACCACGGGCTGGGCTGGCGGGGGCGCCTCCTTCAGCTGGCGCTGTCGCGCTGGCCGTCGCTTCGTCTGCACCTGCGCAGCATCCAGCGAAGAGTCCGAGCTCTTGCGCAGATTACCAGGTGGAGCAATCAGCTCACGTGAACGCTCTCGGTCCCGTTCCCGCAGCTGGTAATTGTATTGGGCGCGTCGATACTCGGGCGTGGCAGTTAGCTCATCGGCTGTCAAGCAACTGGCAGCGGGCTCTCGATCCATGCGTGGACTTGTGCTGTTGGCGGTGGCGGTGGTGGTGCTGGGGGTGTTGTTGTTGTTGTTGTTGGTAGTGTTCTGGTTGCTGTTGCTGGTGGGCAAACGAAATGAGGAGACGGGCTTGCGCACCACGGGCCGCGATCGTGGAAAGTCCTGGTAGTTGTTGCGATACTCTGGATTGAATTCGATCTTGCCACGCAGACGCAGGTACGGCTCACGCACCTTGCCACGCTCCGGCATCTCGGTGATGTGCGGATCACGGAAGCTCTCGTAGTACTCCGGCACCTCCTTGGTGAATTCGCCACGCGGCCGCAAATGATCGTCCGTCTTGAGGGGCTTCTCTTTGGCCATGTGCTTGGGTGGGACATTGAACTTATCGCGATACTCGGGCAAGTCGCTGCCGCTCTCCACGGGCGGCCGCTGCTCCTGCTCGGAGCCAGAGACGCGCAGATTGTCGTGCTTCTTGATGGGCGCACTCTTCGAGTAGTTGGCATACATCTTGAAGCTGTCCTGGTACTCCGGCACCGCATGGAACTCGCCCTGCATCTTGATGCTGCTGATCTGCGGTATCGAGTGCGCCTTCTCGATGGGAAACTGCTCCACGTACTGCCGCTTATACTCGGACGGCGTTGGCTCGTACTGTGTGCCCTGTGCCCGCATCTGCAGATGACAGCGCTGCTGCTCCTGGGCGGCTATGTCACGCTTAAACTTGTCGCTGGCCAAGCGATTCGATGGCTGCTCCTTGTCGTCGCGAAACATTTGCCGGGGCAGTATCTCAGCTCCGCTGTCCACCATGGGGTAGGTGAGATACGATGAGCTCTTCATTACCACCGGCTCGTTCGCGCCACCCAGCTGCAGGTTCTCCGGGTTGCGCACGGGAAATGTGCGCGAACTGAAGGAGACAGCATCAACATATATTATGTAATTACGATCATATATATAGAGAGAGAGAGACGATTGCTTACTACTTCAGATCCTCGGGCGTATACCAGTGATATTTATCCTGATGCTCCGACAGCAGCTGCATCAAGCCCTCCAGCCGCAGCGATGTGGCACGCCTGAGCAGTGTTCGGGGGTGGGCGTGGGCGTAGGCGTGGCCCTGGCAACAATAGTGCTTACGGTACTCGGACTTCAAGGAGCCAAAGGACAACACTGGCGCCTCGCTATCATACAGACAGACGTTGCTGTGCGTGTGCTGCGGAAACGGCTGACGGCGACGGAAGAACTTGAGGTCATCGACGGCGAGATGCTCGTGCAGATGTTTGATTGTGAAGCGATCGCTGTGCCTCTGGCTGGCTGCGAGGTCTGGCTCCGAGAACGAACGGTTCCAATTGAAATCCGCCTCGACACTGCGGACAGAATGTATTGTTAGCCAGAAATTGGCCTGGCAAAATCACGATTCTGGGTTGGGTGGGGGCAGCCAGGGAGGGGGAGTCTTGGCTACGTTTGGCGTTGGCGTTGGCGTTGCCATTGGAACCAAATAACAGGGAATCGAAATTAAATCGTAGAGAATGCCAAGAAAAGCACAAATATGCTATGGGTAAATTCCTAGGAAACGGCGTGCCCAACTAGGAGATACCCTATGTGGAGTTATTGATGGCAATTCAAAAATCTGCAGTGAACAGTTAAGTCAGACGTGCAAGAT